CCCATGATCCTGAAAGCTGTGTTGTAAGAGGCGTTAGACCCTAGAGGGATCTCCCATGGTAAACTGGTCTAACAGGAGAGGCAAACTGAGAGTGATTCAAAGACATTAACAGAGCAGCACCAGTTTAAAATTGCCACCTCCAACAGAAAAGCAAAACAGGGCTTCCTGTCTTCCTCTGAGGGGATAGCTTACTGTTGAGCGCTTCATGTCCCGAGTGTTTCCTCCCAGGGCTCCCAATTATTTGTTTTTAGGACTCTTTACTAACAATCGATTGTTCATCAAAAATACAGTTTTCAAGCAAAGGGTGTTTCATAAGCCTACCTGGTATCATGCTATCTTAGGCCAAAGGTCAATGATTAACTCTCTGGGACCCACATGCTTGAAGCTGCAGGCTGGGGTGGAGCTTCTCAATTTTTAGAAAAGCCTACACCAGAATGCTGGAAAGGAGCCTCCAGCCGATTGTCAAACCTCAGTTATCTCATTTTTGTCCTCATAGATCACACACTTATATGCCCATAGTTAATGAATACACAAGCATTGCAATAATGTATCAAGTTTAGATTTATAGATCAATTTTTAATCTTCACTGATAAGAGATGAGCTTCACAGGGTCTGACCTAAAAGTCTGTGCTACCCTTAGGGCAATAATTGCTCTACACTTGCAAGTTGCGTTGAATAAAAGTGCTTGCTAAATTAACGCTAAGTCATAAATACACCCAGTAAAATTGTGCACCCCACATGCTGAAGAAAGAAACAACGGGCCCCTCTCAGAATAAAGGGATCGAATCTGTACAATACTGCACCATGAAAAGAAAAATGTTATCATACCTAATGATATCAGCACATTCTGCGGGTGTCTGAGTCTGAAACCCAAGTCCGTCCTTTGGTACCGATTATCTAGTCTTACCTCTTGGTTTGCAGAGTGGCGATGCCCAGTTTCTTTTTGGAAAAAGCAAACTATTTCCAAGAGAAAAAATAGGCATCTTACCTCTGCAGTGCCAAGCGGCACCTGGAGTAATGGAACAGATGGAGGAGTCAAGGCAAAGTTCACGTGGGATTTATTAGACTAAAAGATTGATTACACAAGAGTTTAATCCAAAGCAGGTCTATGGGAACAGCTAGAAACTATTTGGAACTTGATAAAAGAGGAACTGTCAAAAAGTAGATAAGAAAGTAAGTAATAACGTAAGCCGTTATCAAGACCAAAGGAGTTTGTACAAGACATAAAGATTAAAATGTGTGAAAAAAGACTATTCAGGGATTTCATTTTGTGTACAAAACATATAGCACTTTTTGCATGTTTTCATGTCTTTTCTTTAAATAATTTGTCTAGACCTGTATAAAAAACGACTGTTTTTAAAGACAAATATGTGAACACAGCTTTTTTTTCCACATTGAAAGACCTGTCATTACAAACACGCAATACTAAACAGACGTCCACATAGGCATAGGCACACAACACCACAGACACTCACAAAAAATCGATTGAAAACCAGATACAAAGAGGGAAATACGAAGGCCAATCAGCTAACCTTATGGGTTTCAGAGGACTTTCCAAAGCAGTATTTTATCATTTGGGCTTTTTTCTGGCTTTGGTACCTACAGCTTTAACAAAGTAAGATTTTATCTGACATGGCTCTCTCACGGCAGATTTTGTTACACAGCTGCTCTCATTTTTTAATTTCTTTAAGGTGTTTGGCATGTTTCTGTTCCTGGATGTCTTGATGTAGTATTGTTTTCCACTGGCTGTTGGAGCTACCGTAAGATAGCCAACTCTGGGGATTAATAGGATTTCTTTGATGTGCAAAAATGATAAAATAAAGGAAGCTATGCACTTAGACATTTTTCTTCCCAGTTTGATTTTCAGTCTTTTTATGATTGTTCAAATAGATCATGTAGATAAATGCAGAAATGTTGGTGTATGTGTGCAGCTGACCAAGGAGTGCTTTATGCTTTATGTTCAATACAAGGAGGAGAATTTAGATGAGGCAATACATCAAATAAAAAATGACTACAAACTGGTTCTTTTTGGGAATGTGAGCTTTACTCCCAAATTCAAATCCTACTACCTAAACCTGTGCTTTGGCTCACTTTATCTGAAGTGATGGCACTGACTGATGATTTTGCACACCTTCATAAAAGGGCTTTGTCACTCAGACAAAGACCAGTCCTCATGAAACATCTGAAAATGTTTCTGTACAATACGTTTTTGTGTCCATATAGATTGGGGCTGATAAATGGGCACGCACATAAAGATTACTGATGTCACCAGCAGTGTAAAGCCTTTAGATGTGTTCATTTATACTTTGTATATTTTTCCACTGCATTTCTGGGATTTGTATACTTCTCACCTCTCGCTTGAACATCATTGGTCACATGAGGACCACAGTCAACCATGACAAGTTGAATCCAGAAAAAAGCCCACATTCCCTACAACCTGTCTCCATAACAATCCATTCTTATGCTATTAACTTCT